AACTGTGGGGAAAAAAATGACACCTCAGAAGCTGAGAAATGACAGGTACTCTCAGATTTCTATGTAATGCTGGCAAATCTTGGAGTTCTTTCATCTCTTCTGTCCAGAAGAGTTGCAGAGACAGGACAGGCTAGAAATGACACTGCAAACTAGAGATTAACCCACCCATTCTCCCTCTGGGCACCAGTGCCAAAGTGCCATCAAAAGCAAACAAATCACTTCTTGTCCACACACAGGAAGAACATTGACCTCTTAGATGACTCCAGAGGAAAGCCACCAAGTTCAGACCAGAGGATAGAGCACTTTCCCTGTGAGGAAAGGCTGAGAGAATTGCGATTGCCCAGCCTGCAGCAGAGAAGGCTTCAGAGTAACCTGATGGCAGTTTTCTAGTCCCTGAAGGGAACTTACAGGAAAGATGGGACAAGACTATTTATAAGAGCATGAACTGACAGGACAAAGGGGGAATAGGTTCAAATTGAGAGAGAGTAGATTTAGATTAGATATTAAGGAAAAAAATATTTACTGTGAGGGTAGTGAGGCACTGGAACAGGTTCCCAGTGAAGTTGTGGATGCACCATCCCTGACACCATTCAAGGGCAGATTGGATGGGGCTATGAACAACTTGGTCTAGGTGGAAGTGTCCTCTGCCCATGGCAGGGGGTTTGGAACTAGATGATCTTCAAGGTCCCTTCCAACTCAAACATTCTACAATTCTATGGTTCTATGATTTTCCTATACTTTCTGTGCTGCTTTAGGTGTGTCCACACTGGCACAGAGCAGGTGGCACAAAGCAGTCATAAAAGCCATGCTGTGCTTTCTTGCACATGCCAGAATAGATATTGTCAGACAGATTAGGATACAACAGATGTTGAAAGGTACAGAACAGTTAAACAAAGAGGTCTTACCAGAACTGTACAACTGGGTAGCACAGAATTTTTAGCAATCCTCAGAAACCTTTTACCACCATTCATCTGTCAGAATTGCTTTTTTTTCAAAATTCTCCAGCCTCCTTTCTTTACATTTATTTTCCAGCAGTCCTGTTCCTTATACTCAGATACATGGAAAATACGGAGACAGGGCACTGCTCTCATATCCAGCAAATGTAAGACAGGCGAAGGAGTCTGCCCAGATGAATGTTACTCTGCAAGCAGAAATTTCCACTTGACTTGACAATCATATTGTTTTCATGCCTATATGTCCATATATTTTCATTCTCCCATGCCAGAATCAGCAGATGGATATTTCCCAGTCTCCCTGAGGACCTCTGACCTCACGTGCCTGCCTGACATGCACCCATAGGTTTGCTGTCCACACCAGGCACAGCAGCAGCAGCCATTTCCACTCGAGAAACAGAGCACAGTGCAAAGTTCAGTGATTAATGAATGTACTACTGCAGGGTGCAAAGGACCAGTAAGTTCCTTCCCTCCTGCTCAAGTGTAGTGCCTCAGCTCCCATCTCCCAATAGCATGTATGTTGGCCCAGTCAGTCACAGTCACTCTGTCTTGCCTGACTAATTTTGATTGTGGAATAGTTTCAACAGGAGAGTAGCCTCTTTATATCACAGGAGTCCACAACTTGGCACTTTTGTTCTGTCTTGGGAGACACAGGTTTGAGTCTTCCGTCTGCAGAAGGAATTAAAGTTAGGAGTAAGATCGTTCCATAAACACAAGAAGGGGACACTGGCATCACCACTTTGGTTAAACAAAGAGAGGAACAGTCACTGCTGCTCTTTTGTTTTGTGGGGTGGGGAATAGCAAAAAAGGGGATGCATCGATGTCTGACCTCCCCCTGAAATCTACCTGAAGGAACCTGAGATTGTATTTTCAGGAAAGCATTGTAAAGAACAATGTGTGTTCCTCATGCCCTGTAACCACTGCCAGTACCTAGATGTTGATGGCTTCATTCTCAGGACTGCTGCCTTGAAAGTAGAAGTGATGAAATTACATACAACTAGAGAGACTTTGCTGTCCCTCAGAATTTTCCTCTCTCCTGTAATGCTGCAAAAATATAATGGGCTTTTCCATCTGCACAGAGAACGGGTTGTCACAATACAAACAGTAATCTGACATTTGCAGGGCAGGATCATGCCACGTTTTGCTGAAGGGCATTTTGATAGGTCTTTTCATGTACTACTCTTGACTGAACCTGGTAATCAAACAGATGGAACAAAACGAGCACTTAGTGACTAAACCAGTGCCGGCCCCTCAGCAACCCAATTGTGTTCACATGGCACGAAAAACCAGCACAACATTAATTCCCTCCTGTTCCCCTCAATAGAAAGAGACCTGGAGCATTTTCCAGTATACAGGGGAGAGCACTTAAGAGGTCAAACTCATCCCCAAGAGACTGATGCCAGTGCCACAGCAGCAGCTGATTCTAAGCAGAGTATTTATCTGAGAACAGAATGTGGCACTGCTCTCTTCTATTTAATTTCAGGTAACACAGAAGGAAAAAAATAAGGGTTTTTTTGCTGTAACAATCCCCAGCATCTAGCTCTGCTCTCCAAGATAAATATAGGTCAAAACTTCCTCCCCAACTTCAAATTAGCTCCCAATAGAGCATTAATTGTATGAAGCTCTTATGCAAAATTTAGAAAAAGATGGCCCTAAAGACATCAAGCACATATCCCCATAAGATGGTTCACTCATACTTCAGGGGCCAAAACTAAAAGTCAATTTTACTGAATACATGGCCAATTATTCACAGCATCTGAATTAACATAATTAACATTATAATGGATTTCTTCAAAAGGGAACTAATATAATAATTACACAAGGCATTCTAAATGGGAAACAAAGCCAAGTACAAATTTCAGAAGTTATTTTATGCAAATACTGTAGCTGTAGCATTCTGAGAATTCCATTGTAAGCTGAATTGTCCACTTCTGATACTATGAATAACTGCATGCCCATTTATTTCTAATAACCTATTATTTATGTGAAATTTCTTTTGTCCTTCTAAATGCTATGAACCCATTTAGAGAAACCACCTACATGACAGCTTCCAATTATCCTTATAAAATATTGCATTGGTTTGGATATATAATTAAATGCCAACTAACTGTTGTGTTCTTAGAAGTTAGCAGAAGTCCATGAAACCCAGCAATAACAGAACATTGCATTTAATTCTAAACAACTTTTTCTAAACAAAGGTGATTTTTATATAATCACCCCAGAACACAATAAAATTGCACTCAGTTTGCCATTAAAAAGATTAGTGAGTGCAGGTATCAATATTTAATGTGCTAATAACAAGTGCCATTTTCCAGACCATCCCCAAACAAACTCATTCACTCTTCCAGTGCACCAATATTGCAGCCACTCTCCCATGTACACCCATGAGCAGCTCCATGATGCCATGCATTTATTCACCCTGCTCACCTCACTGACATTTCACAAATTGGCTTAGAGTCGGCAAGTTGGATTACTCACACTTATTGCATCCATGCTGAGGGACTCTGCTTTCCTCTGGGTCACACTGCTGAGCATCAGTGTCACTCAGAGGGGCTGGCCCTTGCTGATGTGGGTCCTCAGAACTGCAGTAATCAATGGTTCCTCCCAGAATGCACCTTTTGAAAACTCCTTTTGTCTCTTTAAGCTCACCATAAAACTGCTGTAGCATCTCAGTAGCTCCTGTGGCCAAGACACTATGCCTGTCACTGCCTCAGGGACAGCAGGGCAGCTGTGGGGTGCAGTGGGACCTGCCAGGGGAGTGACATGCTGCCACAAGTGGGTTACAGAGGGAGCAAGCAGGATTCAGTCCTGGAAGCCTCCACACCTTCTGAAAAACTGCAGCATAGCTGTACCTGAGCTATGGATTGTCTCTTCCTCTGATCCTCAATGATTTAATGCTGGACTTGGAGCGGTTTTCCTTCTGAAGCAAACTCAGGCTACTTCTGTTATCGTTATTCTGGAAGGTCTGCAATGCCAGCAAACAGCTGCTTACAGCAGTTAACAATGATATTTATTCTACTCATTACATAGTCATCTTTCTATATTCATGCATTTCTCTTTCAGTGCCATTGGCCTTCCAGCAAACAATTCATTTGTGGACAAAGCACTTGTATGGCCCTCAAATTGTAAACTATTCAAAATGTGGACAGTGAAAAACAACACAAGAGAGATCTGGAGGGCCTGACCAGAAACTGTCCAGAAATCACCCATGTATAAAATACACTGTCTGTCTCTTGTGCTTCAGATTGCTGAGTTAAAATTACAACAGTTAGAACATGGGGAATGGAGACACATAAAATGGCCTGCAAGAGCAGTTAAGTGCCACAGAGAAATTTGGACTTGATAAGAACAGAAGATTGTTTACAGCCCTGATTACTCCTGACCATGAATACTGTGCTTTGTGTCCAACAAGGACCTGAGCAAACCCCAGCACTCTGACACATTTGTTTGTCTGCTGAGACTCTGGAGGGCACAGACACTTCCCACTGGCACCATTATGCAGGTGGCTTTCCTGAGGCTTTCTGCTCCAAATTATGATCTCCAGCCATATGGGGAACACACTCATCAAACACATACAGCCTTCAGAGCTGATCTCCCTCTGTACCCTCTTGTTTTATGTGGTTCTGTTCCCCCACATGCCCCTATGCCATGTTTTTTCTTTCTCTGGCAAGAACACAGTCAGGTTTTACTGCTAGAAAAACCCTTAGGAGTTTGGGATTCAGACAGTATAGGGAATGTACTGTGCTTTTCACCACCAAGTCACCCCAGGCAGGCTGGGACCCTGTCACCAGGAGGGGAACAGACTCCCAGCTGTGTCTGCCCCAGCTCCAAGAGCTAGGCTTCAATTTTCCAACATGGAGAACAACTTCTCTCAGCTCTAAAAGCCAGCCATGTAGCATGAAACAGTCCAGGAGGGAAAGATCCTGCAGCAGGAGAGCCCCAAGGCAGTGGGCTGTGGCAGCCATGGAGTTTTCCCACTGCTCCCAAGGCAAGGGGAGAGGGAGTTTCCCACTGCAGCCTCCTCCCAGTGTGGCAAGGGCCATGGGTTCACACCTGATATGACACGGCCAGGTGTACCCACCTGGATTTGCAGGGATGGAGGTGCACGGAATCCCAGCCTCCACGAGGTCTCACCACATCTGCAGAAGTTGTTCCAATGGCTGTCTGTGAGAAATAAATGAGAAATAAATGAGAAAACCAGTATTTTTAGTTGGTTGTTGGTTTTTTTGTTTTGCTTTTTTAACATTTATTGGGAGGTATGTCTAATGCCTAAGATTACTATTTCATTTTTTCCTCTGAATATAAATACATTGCCTATGGATATATCAGAAATACACAATAATGCAACTATGAGTTATTTACCTGCTGGGACAATGCTAATGAGTATTCTAGCAATGAAAATGGCTTCACTGGCTTGTAAAATATAAAACAGCAGGGAACTCACTGGAGAGCCCACAAGCATATGTCAATAAACTTAAATTATTCACAAGTACATAAGCCTCCCAAGACACCAGCTTCCCAGCCCCCTTTCATTTTCTGATTGTTCCTGACTGCCTCACATTTTGAGCTAAGAAAAAGACTAATTTTCTTTCTTCCTCAAGCCCATAGAGTTTTTGCAGAAGCCAAACAATCATATAAAAAACCTTTAGTTCAGATACAAACTGAGTATTTTATTGGCTAACACTTCATATATGCAATTGACACGCATTGCAGAGTGCAATAGCAATCCAGGACAATTGTATCTAAGACCATAAACACCTGAATATAAATTACATTTTACCAGAGTGCTCTAGCAATGCACTCAGACACAGCACTGACACAATGTGCTCTCATTCAGAATGTTGCTGTTCTTTGTTTCTCTCCTCTACATCAATCCTGTCAATATTAACATCTGTAACAATCACTAACCACTCACATTTTGACACTTCCAGTGTACACTGCCAAGCACTGCAGGGTGTTACAAGTAAAACAGAAGGTTCTAATCCCCACCAAAGGTCCTTCAGCCAAAATTCAGATCAATGTTTGGACTTGAACAAAAAAACACCCTCCAACACGTTGGAATACAAGTCCAGGCATCTGTTGTCATCAAAATATTGTGATTGTTGTATTTCATGTCCCTCTTCATTATAAATCCATTTGGCACCCTTTGTAACAGCCTAGCCTCAGAAAAAATTATTTGATGTTCCTGTAGATGTCATATGTGCCCTGTGCTTTCACAATGCTTCTACTGTAATTCAACATTCATTACCTTTCCAATTAATGTACTGAATAATGCTGCAATATGAAATGCTCACATTTCACAATGAGAAAACTGAGCTCAGCTCTGTCTGCTTTAATCCTATTTTAATTTTATTATAATTCAATACCAGAATTTTTCTCCTTCTGGGCTGGATTATTGACACCCAAACACACACAAGAGAAGTATGTTTTGCATAGAAAAGATACACTTTTTCTTTTCTTCTCCAATTTCTTTTTCAATACCATTTAGATATACTTTCCTGCCTTATGATCATTACTGAATAGCTCAAAAGAAAAACTGAGGTGACAGAAGTATTAATAGAACAACATTTACCAATTACCATAAATGTAGACATCATAAATACCTACAACTGATGGAAAATAGTAAGTGTGAAGCAGATTATAAATACAGAAAGAAGGTAATATCAAAACTGTGGTCAAAGAATGGAAAACACCCTCTCATTTAGAAGCTAAATGATCCAATATATTCCTTAAATGTTGTGTGTCAAAAATACCACTCAAAGTTTTACTGCTGAGTACCATAATAATAATTTTTTAAAAAGCTAAAACATATAGAGTATAACATATAGAGATGGAAAATACATATACAAAATTGCTTCCTGTATCTATGATGGATAGAATATATGGTGAGTTTCCACAATGAGGAACTTAATTTTACTGTTTGTTTGGTTTAGCTGCTGTCAACAGCTGCAATCTTTGTGAGCTACTGGATTTGACTTGGTGGATAATGCTACCATCTCAAAGCACCTCACAGTTCTTTTTCATCATGAATGTGCTAAAATGCTTGAAGAAGGTACAAATTCTCCCTTTTTCCAGTGACATTAGATCTAGCTTTCTTCCTTGTTACCCCACCACATCATTTTTAATAGAACCAAACCTGTAACACACAGCTGCAAAAAAAAAAATCAGCTGCCCCTCACACTCAGAAATCTTATATTCATTCTTCAGTGCCCATCACTAGCTGGCAATTACTGAGTATGTGAATATGCCCTGGGAAGAATGTGCAGTTCAGACAGAAGGAATTTTAGAATGTCACCTATCAAATATTCCCTCAGACAACTAAACAGCCTCATTTTAAATAACATTGCTGGTCAAAAAGTCTGTTTTTAAGAATATTTCAGAGTAGTCTATTTAGCATCTTGAGATAAAATTTCTTCTTGAACTGTTTTGGAATATTTCACTGAACTTTAAGTGCACAGGCTAGCTATTACTGATCTATCAGTAATTCAGATAACCTATTTTAAGAAGAAGTTCAACAAATGCTCCTGCTTCAACATCATCCTTGACCAAAGCCTTTTTTACTTACTTCTAATTGCTTAGCAATGATCTTGACCCACTGCTGCAGCAGGTACAGTGAGGCAAATAGCCATGGAATGCTGCTGCTTTTCCAAGTACCCACGTAAAGGTTATAGGGAACCTCATATTTATTTAAGATAGCTTTAGTGACTAGAAACTTTCATTTGTTTGGTGTTAACCCACTTCATTCTGATACAGCTTGATTTTGTGATTTCTATTTAGCTCTTCCATCCTCGCTGGTACCTCATTTTTTGTTTACTTACTTTAAATGACTATTATTACAGCTTTTAATTTTGAAAGAAAATTCAGAGCTGCATTGATCCTCTCTTCCCACCACGTGAATGCCAGTCTTCAGGACACTGGCATCTTAGCTAGTCAGCCTAAAGGACCAACAGCTGGAGGGTTTTTCACCATCAGTGAGCAGTGCACAGGTGACATTGCTGTGATAAACATGCCTAGAACAGGAGAAGAAAAGTAAAGGGTAATATGTTAGGAAAGACAAACAAAACAAGATTTTGTGGAGACCTGAATACAAAATGACAAGATGTTCCAAACTGTGCACTGCAGTTAAGCTGTGTTAATCATTCCCCTGTCACTGACAGACTTGTAGAAGGGGATTCTCGTTAGCACTGAATGGCTGGGAGCTTGTTGTGTTTACTATCAGCTAACAAAGCGGGCAGCAGATGCTCTCACCGAGTTATTTGTGTCAACACCTAAAGTATCCAACACTTGAGTTTTCACTCTGGCCAAGGCACATCTACCACAAGCAATTATTTATCAGATAGAAGCTGAAAAACTATGAGAAAGAAGACTGTAACCTTCTCTACTGACTAAATTAGCAACTGTGTGCCCATTATCTACATATTCTTTCTTCAAGCACTTTTTCCCTTGGATTCCTTTTCTTCGGAGATAAAGAAATGTCTCTGGTGAGAAAAGCAACCAGCTGCCAAAGCTGATGCTTAACCAGCCTCTCAAGGGAAAACTGCAGCCTAAAAAGACACCCTTTTATGAGGCTGTTCAGAGTTAAACCATCTTGTGCACATTGGTCTTCTGGCTCCACCAAAGCACAGTCATTCTGTTCTGGACAGCAACAGCTCAAAGCTCTCAGACAGACATCCAGGAAAAGTCCACATCCTGGCTCTGAGATCGTATGTACTACTCTTAAGCATAAAGTAACCCAAGCAAAACCAGGTAAATATAAATAACCCAGACAAAGGCTCCATTTCCTGCCATCTCATACTATCAAAGAAAAGAAAAACAATATTGTTGAAAGGGAGAGAAAATTTTCACCACTGAGTTCTTTTACCTTTCTTCTTAAATAGATCAGCACATTCAGAAAGGAGCAAAATGCAACGACCAGACTTTCTGAAACTTCATTTTACACTATGAGCCTGGAAATTATATATGAATCTCGTGACGTTAGAAATTAAAAATCAAAATGACACTCCATGATTGCTTTAAAACACCTCTTGGAAAATCACTCCTAACCTACTGAATATATTTCCAATTATTTCAGCAGGTTTAAATACTGCATATATATTCCACACAGAATTCTACTAGAAACACGAAATCAAAGCTAGAAGTCAGTGTTAAAAACACAGGAGGCCAAAGCTCTACTGGTTGTTTAAGAGAGCCCAGTGGCCTTCAATGATACTAACTGCACAAGCAAGGACTGCTTGTGTAAATTAAGCCAGCAGAAACAGGTTTGCCAATTGCATGGATATTCAAAATTTTTTAATTGGATGTTGTCCTGGTTTCTATTTTATTTCATAGAAGTG